CCCCAAAACCCCAAAACCCCAAAACCCCAAAACCCCTTTAAGTTTTGAAATTTAAGTGAATTCCTTGAATAAAGTGCCTAAACCATTAAATGTCCACCTTAAGTCTTCTAGCTTTCATAATCTCTCTTTTTGTTGGAATGTGAGACTCAAAAATTCTACTGTGAGATCCTTTGAACCTCTCTGGGCTGATCTTTTTAGATTTCCACTGGTGATCGATGTCAATCTCTTTATCGACCTTGTGCAGATTATTTATTTAGCGACTTCTTCCTTCTATTGTTAATGATATCCTTCTCCATCTGTATCTTAGACTGAGTCTTGTGTAACTCGTTGTACACATCACTGGAAGGATTAATAGGGTTTTCAATTCCAATGACTCCATGTCTCCAGCCAGATTTGAGAAGCTTCTCTCTTTTCGTGATAAAATTCTTTTTCTCCTTAAGCTCCTTAAAATTTTCTTGATTCTGCCTCTCTTGTAGAAAATCTTGGAACTGCTGTTTTGAGTTCCGTAGCAAACTATTTCCTTCAGGAATAGATACACTTTTTCTCAAGATTTCTGGAAGAAGTGTGTTTCCAGAGGAAGCCTTACTGAAATTCATCGTGGATAAAGAACGTCTAAGTTCGTCTCTCTCCTCTTGGAAAGGATTCTTCTCATTGGGCCTTATAGTTTTATTCTCTCTGTCTGGAGATCTTGTAATAAGGGATGATGGCCCATCATATTGATCAATGTAAATGTCCTGCTTCTGAAGGTCTCTGTTTAAGGTCAAAAAGAAATGTGAAGGCCTCATGTTGTCACCAGATGCAGGATTAATAGAGAGACTCTTCCTCGATCTGTCCAAAGTAGGCTTAACATAAGGCACATTATTAAAAATGTCTTCGTTATGAGTATATCGAGGCATTTTTGTTCTATATGTCAGAGGTTGTTGAGAGGATTTGATCATTTTATCTAAGCCAACATGTGATTCACCGAGCTTGACTGTTTTCATAAATTTCATGTTATTCCCATCCTGGTTGCGATACCGTTTACTTGAGGCAAAGTTCATTTTATTTCAATAATTATGAGCCAAGATGGGGTTTTGGGGTTTTGGGGTTTTGGGGTTTTGGGG